TATTTTAGTATTAAAATGTGTCAAAAATTTTCTTTAAGGGACCACGTTGTTATCCAAAATTAGGTAGGCGCTATAGTTTCTTAGCTTATAAGCAAATATTCATATTTCCTTTGATGTGTGTCTGTGATATTAGGATAATAATTTTGTGTTTGTTTTTAAGCCTGTTCCTTTTGTATTTCCTTGGTTAAAAATATCTAGCATTAAGAAAATATTTTAATAGTGTTAGACTTTCCCTTAGGGAGATGACTCTTTTTTAAAAAAGAATTATTTTATCTAACTTTATTTACTTATTTATTTGTTTAGAAGGACATTGTAAGTGAGAGAGAGAGAGAGAGGGAAAGTGAGAAAGCAGGCTGCTGGGTCCGGGACTCTGACCACCTTCAGCCATGTGGGAGTCCAGTGCCCTTAACCAGCACAGCATCTGTCGACCCTCTCTTTCTTCAGGAAAATAAGCTGCCCAGTGATAGAAGATGAGGCTCTTATGGATGGATAGATAAAGAGCTACCAAAAAAGTGTGCTTAGAAAATCAACAGCATTTTTCTGTAGAAGAACATATAGGAGAGAGGTGAAAAAGATGAAAAGGAATCCAAATAAGGAAAAAAGGTAGGAGCTAGGGCTTAATAAAAGCGAGCCACGAAGAAACACATTTTTCTATATTTGCTGAAGTACATTTGAGTATCGAGATGCATATTTTACATTGTTTTAACTCATTATTTTGAAATAATATTAGAATTACAGAAATGTTAAAAAATATTACAGAAAGTCCCTATAGACCTTTGACCCAATTTCTCCTAATGTTTACATCTTGGATAACCAGGGCCCATTTGTCAAAACTTAGACATGAACATTAGTCGTCTACTATAGCTAAGTCACGTGCTTTATTCAGATTTTATCAATTGTTCTCCTAATGTTTTTCTAGTCTAGGATTCAATGCAAGATCCAACATTTCATCTGTCACGTCTTTTAGTCTCCTCCAGACCATGACTCTGTCTGTCAGTCTTTCCTGACCTTGATGATTTTGAAGAGGAGAGAACAGATACTTTATAGAATGTCCCTCAATTTGCATTCACTTTAGTTTTTTTAATGGTTTGAATGTTACACATTTTTTAAAGAAAATACCACAGAGTTATTGTGTCTGTCCTTCTCATGCCATAAAATCTGGAGTTTCAAGATATGAATAAGGGGGACCAGCAGTTAGCATAATGGCTATGTCACTGAACTCCCATGTAATCGACCGTGGTTCAAGCCCTGGTCCCTGTGTCTTAAACTCACGCCGGGTGCATGTGCGTGCGTGCGCAAGATCGCAAGAGGAGAATGGAGGAGAAGAGATTGCGGCATGGTCATCCCCCCGGGGTTTATTTTTCCCTTTATATCTCTCCTTCTCTCTCTGTTTTTCTGGCAAGCTCATGCACCCTATTAGCAAAAACCTCTCCAAAAAAAAAAAAAAAAAAGATATGAATAGGTATGAATAGGGGCCAGCAGGTTGCAGTGTGGTTAAGGTTTTGCATTCCCACGTGATGGACCGAATTTGAATCCCGGACTTAATGGCTTGTTTTCTCATTTTCTTTCTGTCTGTCTCCCTTTGGTCAACTTAAATGAATAATAATAATAAATAAAATTTTAAATAAATAATTCTGTTTTAAAATGATATTGGTAGATCTCATTTCTGATGATGTTGGCTTTTACCACTTGTTTAAGTGCTGGTAGTTGGCATTCTCCAGTGGAAACTTACTATTACCTTTTTCCTTCTTTCTTTTTTAAATTTGTTTTTTTTGGAGAGATTTTTGCTATAGGGTGTGTGCGCTTGCCAGAAAGACAGAGAGAAACAGAGAGACAGAGAAATCACCCCCCCCCCAGGGGGATGGCACCGACACAATCCCTCCTCCCCCCTTCTCAATCCCTTCTCCTCCATTCTCCTCTTGGGATCTTGGGCAAGCATGCTCCCGGTGTGAGTTTAAGCCACCAGGTCCGGAACTCGAACCACAGTCAACTACATGGGAGTCCAGTGACATAGCCATTATGCCAACTGCTGGTCCCACTATTACCTTTTTCTTTGTAATTAATAATGTTGGGGGAAATGCTTTAAGACTATTCAAATTTTATGTCTTCTCAAATGTTCACTTACTAATATTAATATCTATCAGTGAATTTTGAACAGTAATTATTATTGTGATGTTGCATAAGAGCAGTTTTCTGTTTCTCTTATTCTACATTTACTAGTTGAAATTATGAGTTCTTTCTTGCAACTTATTTATTCATTCAGTTATTTATTTCTTTCTTTATGGATTCATGGGTATTTATGTAGTACATGAATTTTAACCCTATTCTGTTGACCAAATCATCCTACCTTTAATATGGGAAGTTTTTCTAGGTTGGCTACTGTTTCTTTTTAACATGTACCCCCCGACCTTCTTTTCCCTGGCCTTTCCTTTCTCTTCTTTCTTTCTTTCTTCTTTTTTTTTTTTTGAGTGCTTTTAGTTATAGGGCATGTGCACTCACCAGACAGATGGAAAGCTAGAAATCACCCCTGGGGGGATGGCCACACTGCAATCCCCTCTCCTCCATTCTCCTCTTGGGATCTTGGGCACGCATGCACACATGACCAGTGTGAGTTTAAACCACCAGGTCCAGGACTTCAACCGTGGTCAACTACGTGGGAGTCCAGTGACATAGCCACAGTGCCAACTGCTGGTTTCCCTGGCCTTAATGGAGTATAGGAGCCTAAATTCAGTAAGTATCAATCAGTAAAGACAAGTGGTCCAACCATTTTGATCATCCTCTTTCCTAACATCCTTGGGTACTTTTCCACTAGCTCACCCTGGTCCTCATAAATTCTCTTGTCTTTTGTTTCAGCAATTAATTAAATCTCTCTCCATTACTGTAATAATCTTAAATAAAATTTTCTTGCCTATTTAACTTCTCCACTGTATTTTTCCCTTTTACATTTATTACTGGTTTTAAGAAAAGTCCTAGATGTGTAGATTTTCTGAATTTTGTTGTTAAAACTTTGAGAGGAAAGCATTTTTTTTACTCTCAGTATCCTAAAGTAAAAACCAGAGGGACTGGCAGGTGGCATGGTGGTTAAGGTGCTGGATTCCCAGATAGCTGATTGTGGTTTGAGTCCTAGACCTGGCAGCTTTCTCATGCTCCAGCTATCTCTGGTCAACTTAAAAAAAATGAAATAATGATAATAAATAAAATTAAATAAAAATAATTATTAAAAAAAAAAGAGATATTGCCATTTAAATTATTTTCATTCCTGATTTTTATAATTCATACATTACCTCTAAACCTTTTCATAAATTTTTTCATCTACACGAATGATATATATGGGTGATTTTTAAGAATTTTAGTATGGTAGGTCCCTACAGTGGAGCAAGAAGGGAATAGTCATAGAAGATTAGTCTCAAATGAGAGCAATAGATCAATGAGGGCAGAAATGGAATGAAAGGGCTTCTGAGGATATAAGGTCTCAACAAGGTACTAAATTCTTTAGAGAATTTGAAATGTAACTTTCTCCAAGTATGCATACTTTGAATATGTACACATATACATATTTTGAGATGCATTCATATATATACTCAATGTACTAATTGTGGGACTTGGGTCATAAATGAGCAAAGATTCTCCAGTAATGTAATCACAAAGAAGTGATATTTGTGGAATTTTCAAGCTGATACAAAAATGTTTTCTTTTCTCTGAAAACCTAGTAAGTGAGGCCCAGTCACTTACAGCAAGCCAGTTTAAGGTTTGCAGTTCTTTTGAAATTGACAAAGACCTCTCATGAGAAAGGCTTGACCAATGCTGAGTCATGGGAGATCTGTTAGAGGAATGGGCAGATGAGAAACCAGGACCCGGTATTTGAGGAAACCAGGATAATTATGCAAGGGAAAACAATTGACTCTGATCGATTGTAGTGAGGAATGATTTTCAGGTGCTTGTTGCTTGTACTTGTCAATACTGAGAACATACTGACCTTTTCCAGACAGTTGGACTCCCTGTAACTAGTTACAGAATAAACTCCCTTTTTTTTTCCATCCTCTGCATCCTGTTTTATTGACCAAGAGACATCGCCAAACTAAGTTTGGCCAGTAGCACTGGAGTACAACAGTAATGTACTGCTCAGCAATGTTGAAACGGTATGGAGTATTGGGATTTGGTTCCTGTACTTGCCAGATGCACATATGTGCCCAGAATCCTGTCTGACTGAGACAGCTAGGGGTGGACTGCAGCATGAGATTCTGTTGGGAATCTCTTTATCTCTCCAAAATCCCTAAAGGACAGTGAAAGGGAGGAGAAAGAATTGTGATGTGACCATACCCCATGAGGGGTGCTTTCTCACTTTCCTTTTATCTCTCAATCTCTCTATATAACTCTCCAGTGAGTACACACACCCTCTCACAAAATTTAAGAAAAATTGTTGTGGGCCAGCAAGTGCAGGTATGTTAGGGCTGCTGGATCCCACATGGCTGAGTTCTGGGCCCTGAAGTTTGAAAATTATGCTAGGTGCATATGTGTGCATGCTCAAAATCCTGAGAGGAGAATGGAGAAGAGCTTGAATGTAGCCATTCCCTGCGAGGGTGATTTCTCACTTTCCATCTCTCTCTCTCTCTCTCTCTCTCTCTCTCTCTGGCGAGCACACATGCCTATAGCAAAAACTGAGGAAAACAAAACAATGACAAAAACTAAATAAATTGTAGGTGCATACTTTTTTTCCAAATTATAGCTAGTGGTACACATACTTTCATTTATAAATTCTGTTGCATTTATCTTTACCTTACTAACCAAATGCTCTAAATAACATTTGATGTTTTCTGCAGGGATATTTCAAAATCCTTGACACCAAGAATAGTGCCATGTAACTCTACTCCTGTTCAGGAGACAATCAGTAACTGATGGGCGATGATGTTGTAGATGACTCACCATCTGTATTATGACTAAACGTAATTGTATTGTGCTGTAACACATGGCATGGAGGTGTCCTGAGATAAGCAAGAAAGCTTATTTGTAAACTTAAAGCCCATCATTTTCTGAATGACTGTCTCCTCTTTGATAGATTTTCTTTCTCATCTTTGTTACCAGACTAGCATACTTCCTGTCTACCTCCAATATATGATTAACTGGGGCATGGAATTCAGGTAACCAAACATATTTAAATTTTATGACAAGTCAAGTCAATAAGATCCAAGCTACATCCTAAAGGCACTTTTGTGGATAAAATAAATGGGATTCTAGATTTTATTATTTGAATTCTTCACAGATTTAACAATACTTATTTATTGAATTGGTTGAGGATTTCTATATTGTTAGTCTGGCAGTATCGAAAGACAATAGTATATCAACATCCTAGAATGATGATTTTTTTAAAAATTTATTTATTTTGCATTCATTCACCAAACATCATCACAACACATAAAATGTGATTGCCCATCCAGAATACACTGTATAGTGGCCTAATCATAAATGTTATCGTCAGCAGATAATTTTCCATTTCTTGTTCCTTATATAAATATATGTATATATATTTACATATATTTCCCTCTATTTCTCACCCTCTGCCATGGTTCACCTTCCTCCCACACTGTCTCTAGTATCTGCAGTTGCTTTACATTCCTTTCTCCCCCCACATTTTATTGATTCACAAAATATCTTAATCTAACTATTTTTAGTAGCAAATTCAGCTGATACCTACATTTTCTGTGAACACATCTTTGACTTTAGGCATGAAACTCTGTGAGTAGAATGAATATACCATAAGGTAGCACTTAGCAGAGGCTATATAGATTACCATGGTCGTGGTCATTAAATAGGTACATTTTAATATATATTTTTAATTTAAAGAAAGGGCAGTTTGATGATTAAAAGAAAACATAATACAATTGAATTTAAATTAGTCTAAATCCTGAAACATTAATATAATATATATATGTATATATAATATTATATATTATGATTTAGACATGGCTTAACTATAGTCTTATTTTAAATGGGCATTTAAGTTTAGTGTTAAGTATAAGTAAATAATGTATATATATTGTAAAGTATCTAATACTGTTTTGGGCTTTTTATACTGTAAACGTATCATCCTGAAGAAAAACCATTATTATTTTTGTGGCTGGGGAAAAAAAAAAAAGAATATTGTATTTAAGTCTGGAAGTCACTGTAAAGAAGAAATAATGACACACTGAGGTATGACCAAAGTAAACCCTGATGCTGATCATCTGTTGTGTTGTCAGAAAAGTCAGGCTGTATTTTCCTATGTTTTTGTATGTGCCATGACTTTTCAGATGACCTAATAGATAACAAGTTTTGGACAAAGTGTCTGATACTTAATAGTTCCACAAATGAGAAAGACAAAAAGAAACAAAAAGGAATATGTGAAAGAATGAATGAAAAATTAGAAGGACTACTACTGTGAGTAGCATCTGACAACTGTTTTCATATAACTGAACATTATCTTGTAGAACTCTCAGTTCTAGAGGGCTGAATTCAGGCTAATACCCAATATAATAGAGAAGGAATATAGACATTGATCTAGTAAGTATCTCTGGCCAAGAATGTAATGGAGTGCCTCAGAAGATAGTGTACACCTGTTGTTGAAGGACAAAAGTAAGGGATCAGGAGGGAGAAAGGCTGACAGATCAGATAGAACCTCATAAGCTGGTTGTACTCGATGAAGTCACTGAGGTACTTGGGCTGACACTCACTTTGTGGTGACACAAACTCAACAGTAGATTAAGCTTTTTAAGATTGACTCACCCTAACCAAGTTCACCAAGTTTGAAATGTGTACATGTGTTGTATTTTTAAAGATTACAATACGTATGTGATTTTGTTAAAGTATGTTATTTCCTTTATATAGTCTATTTTGGAAGTAAATTCATAGTAACCTACCTGTTTTGTTAAGAAAGGAACCAGAAGATAGATTATAAAGCTTTATATTCACCTTATGACTAAATATATAGCAAAAAATATATGGATGTGACAGGGTCATATCTGTCAAAAGAATGCAGTACTCATGTCAGATTTTTATGCCTATTCCAACTTGCACTGCCTTTTTGAGGCTTCATGTAGATTTCTTGAGGAAAAACAACAACTTTGTTTTAGAGAAAGGTTTATGCTACAGTCACATTCATTTAAATTTCAATCATCATGATACACACACTAAGATCCCGATGAAAGATTATTCAGGAAGTCATATGTGAAGATTCTTTACGGAAGTCATAAATCTCATTCATTTTTATGTTTTCATATTTACTGATAAAAATGTGCCTGGACTTCTTTATTTCTTAGTCCCAGAAAATCCATCATTACACCTTCAAAAAAGTCCAAAAAGAGGTGAAAGCATGTTGTAGATGGAATGATGTTTTGGAATAAGAGTAGGTTATATGACCTATCAAATCTCTATACTTCTACCAAAAACAAACAAACAAACAAACAAACAAACAAAAAACCTGTTGACAGCATTATTTGTTTTTCAGTTTTTTATTGTGAAAAAATTATATGCACAGAAATGTTTAAACACTATTACAATATTCACCCATATTCCCAGGATCTTGTTATAATAGTTTTAACAGTGCCAGAGCCATATTTGATTTTATATCTAAATAGTTCAGCAGATATATCCCAAGATAATAAATGTTCTCCTATATAACCACCGCATGATCGTCACACTGAAGAAAATTAACAATCACTTCCTACCGTAGCCGAATACCTTAGCGTATATTCGAAGTTCTCCTATTGTCTCCAAAATATCTTTTACAACTTTCATCATTTCCTAGAACCAGAACCCAAACCAGGTTCACAAATAAAACACATCTATTATTCGATGTAAAAGACAAAAAAGAAAAAAACTTGGCAAGTATTTCTTTCATATATGAGACATGTACATGTCCTGTGTTGAACTCATTTACATAGTTTTGACGTGGATATTAATAGCTGCTTCATACATTATTACTTAAATAAGATCTTTTTTATAGACGTTGTTAGCAGTTACTAGCATGTGGAAAGCATGAATAAACATTAATTACCTTTATTATTACCTTCAGGATGTAGCTAATCAATCAAATAAGTCTAATGATTTAATAGATAGCTTCGTTTTGACAACCAGCTCCTGAAGCTTATACACTTTTACAATGCATCGAAACCCATTTCATACCTGTGAGTATAACCCAGGGAATGTTAAGGTGGTGCTTTTTGACAAATGAGGTTATTAAGGGTTCATTAAAACTAATGTATTTGTAAGTTTGATTTAAAGATCTGTGCAGAAATATATATCACTCCTTAAAGCAAAGTCCAATTCCAGTCCCTAAATGTCATTTCAGAAAAATATTATAGAAAACAGTTTTAAATGGATTCTAAGCAACATACTTGAAATTAAAATTTAGGATACTTAAAATATCAATTCATACATCTTCTTTTACTAATTTGTCCTCAAAAATGTAAATAATTTGAATTTTTTCCAACAGCATGTCACATTTTAAAAATTCCATCAAAAGCATTTACTATTTACACTTTTGATGTATTAGAAACACATCCATTTCCCAATGCCTATAAACTTATTTTAAAAACATGTAAATGTCATTATTTGAGAAGCTCTGGAGTGGAGAACAGGAATTTTTTTTAGAAATAGTTCTCTAATATGTCTATATACCAGGGATATATTATGTTTTTATAAATTTATGAAACATTGGATTTGACATGATAAGTTATTAGTTATCAACTCATATGAATTATATGAATTAACTAAGAATATCCTAATATTAATGTATAATTTAAAAGATTATTAGTTTTGCATTACTTATTGCAATTCTATTTCTGTGTTTCTTCCAATTTTATTGATAAAGAAAGTACTGAAATGATATGATTAACTTAATAATTAAACTTTTATGAAAAAAGTTATAGTTAAGGAAATCAGAAATAAATTTGTGGGAACAGAGAACTATTAATGGAGATACATAGATTCAAACATCTAGTCTACCACCTATCTGGCGAATAATGTCTATAAAGTCTCTCCCTTCTTTGGGATGTAGTTTCTTTATCTGCAAAATAAGTGATGTGGACTTGGTCTTCTGAGATTAATGCTTCTATTCCCAAAGGATTTATTGCTTATAAGGTAAATGCATTTACTCAAAGTATTTTTTTTCTTTTTTTTCCATAGGCCCTGTGAGGTAGGCTAGGTGAACATTTTAGCTATTTTCCCAACCTTGTGGAATGTTGTGGAAGTCAGTGTAAGGCATTTATTAATATATACACTAATCATAGGTACCATTTACTAAGTCCCTAAAATAGTCCAGATACTACTATTTACAAACATGTCTCTTACTCTCACAGAACCCTATGTAAGTTTATTACCATTTACCATATAATGAACTTGAGTTGAATGGTTAAATTATTTGTCACATAGGTAATACTTGGGGGGAATTTAAATTTGAAAGGACTATATGACAGCAATTTCTGCTACTTTTTTTTCTTTTCTTTATTTTTTTATACTCTACAGGGTAATAAAAATTATTTAAAGTTTTTAAATAGATAAATAATGTAAGCATATACATATTTTGCATAATATAATGAGTATAATGAAATAAAAAATCACAAAAAGAAGCTTAAACTTGATTAACTGTGCCATTTAAATAGTAGGAATAATGAGGGCCTAAGTTTGAAAGAGAGCAAACAAAATGAATAACAGAAATGAATTTGAGGTCCTTGTACAGTTAGAAGTTTGGCATTTGTATAAATATAGGTGACAGAGAAAATGCAAGAAATATGCTATAAAATTTTGAGTCCAAAAGCCTGTTCTTAATCTTTACTCTTAATTATTTTTATTAACAACTACTAACAAACATTTATCATGTACTAAATCCCTACTTTTAGGAAACTTATATCCTAGGGGAAGAAGACCAATATAAACAAACCAGATGTAGGTATAATGTCACCATATTATTTTGAAAGAAGATCTACTTTCAAAGACCCTCACTTTAATAAGAAAAAAATATTTGTATTCCCGGTCCTGTTGTAATGGGGGCATTGGGAGTGCTGCTGGCTGATGCTGGAGACCGTGTGGGAAGGCTCTGAATTCATGTCTGGAGTCTACCACAACACACTGGGACTATCGTTGAGTATACTTGAACACATGTGAT